AAGCTACAGATACCCGACTGTCGAACGCAACCAGCCCAGCATTTACACACTGCTCCCCGAGTCCCCCCCCCCCCATGCTCTTGGAGCGAAGCAGGCCAGCCAGGAGCCCGTCCCTTCCCTCCTCCATACCCGCTGTCCTGACGCACCGCACCGCGCCACACTCAACCCAACTCAACTCAACCCATCAAGGCGCGCACACCATTCCTCCTGGCCATCTCTCTCACTTTAACCACTTCATACTTCGCCCACCACACACACACACACACACACACACACACACACACACACACACACACACACTTCCCACCATCACACCTTGCCTTTGCATCCATTTCTCTGCCATTAGTGCCACTACTCCCTCCCGGTACCTTTATACCCTGCTCAATTTCTCTCCTCCTCCCCGAACTTTAAGGCACGATACATAACCTTGCGACAACTCCTCGCGCACGCTCCATCTTCTTCCCCCCCCCTTCTCCCAAAACCTGTCCAACCCCCCCAACTTTTCGACATCGCCCTCTGCAACATTCTTTCGTCGCCCTGTATCCTCCCGTCGCGCATTCGAAAATCGACATCAACACCCGATAATTTCACCGCGTCTTGGCCCATTTTCCCGCATTCTTGTTCACACGCGCTTCCAACAGTTCCCACCTGAGCAGCGCGACTGTGGCAATCCTCCCTCTCCTTGTCGCACTTCCGAGGCAATCCAAGGCACCACGCGCGAGCGCATGCACCGCAACACCGGCGGATGACAGGCGAGCAAAGGTGAACCAGGCGCATCTACAGTCTCATCAGCCGCACTCGACCTTCTGGGATGACATCGAGTCGCGACAACCCTCCTACATCAACAACGACAAATATCAACCAACTAAACAATTATTGCCATGGCTGCGCCGGCTTTTCTACAACAATCGCAACCCTTCAGGTCCTCAAACACCCAAGCCCCGTTCCTCTCGTCCGTCAACCCCTTTGAGCGCGATGCGGCTATGCCTGTCGGAACGCCATACGCCAACCCGTCCTCGGTGGCCGCCTCTGTCCTGATTCGTCGCCTCCCGCTGAACACCTCGGAGGAATCACTTCGACTCATGGTGGTTTGGTCCAAAGAGCTTGTCGATGTCGAGGTGCTTCCCGTAGATCAATCAGAAGACAAGGGATTCCGATCGGCCATCTTGAAGTTCCGGACCACGAATGGGGCAATCGAAACAAAGAACATGCTTAATGGGAAATCCAACATTTCCAACGACGCAAATATGATTGTCGAGATTCTCGGAGGTAGCCCAACGACGTCGAGAAGATACGCCGAAGCCCCAGGAACCGGATCGTCGAGTACTGCATCCTCCGCAGCGTCTTCAGCCCCATCCTCGCGACAGCCATCACGATTCAACGGCGCATTCCAATCTCTCGAGAAGATCTCGCCGCCTATGAATGGCATATACGGCTCCAGCGAATTGCCCAACCCAGAGTCCAGCGCGCACTATCAGAACCTGTTCTCGCCACAGTCTCCCATCGGAAATCACCTCACCGAACGGACTCGCATTTCTGGAAAATCGTTGATTAACAATGATGCCGCCGATGATGACGAGACCGGCGAGCTATTGAAGGATCCAGTCGCCTACGCGGAAAACGGAGCTACAGCTCAGAGAAGAGCCACCGCCCCACAGCTACCCATATCGCGTTTGGCGAGCCTGTCCCTCAATACCACCAGTACATCACCCAGCCCATCCTCGCTCCCGCAGTACGGTCAACAAGGCATGTCAGCGATGTCGGCTCACCCAGTCATGTCACCCACTGTGATGGGCGGGGGCCCACATACTGTACCCTTCCACATGGGAACCGGTCCTTACGGCCGTCATAACTTTCCGCCGGTCAACCCTGCCGACCAGAACCCGCCTTGCAATACCCTCTACGTGGGCAACCTCCCCATCGATACGTCTGAGGAGGAATTGAAGGCCATGTTCTCCAAGCAACGGGGTTACAAGAGGCTTTGCTTCCGCACCAAGCAGAACGGGCCCATGTGCTTCGTGGAGTTTGAGGATGTTTCCTTTGCTACGAAGGCTCTCCATGAGCTTTACGGCCACCCACTTCACAACAGCGTCAAGGGCGGGATCCGCCTCAGCTTTTCGAAGAACCCCTTGGGAGTCAGGTCGGGTCAGACCCCAGGTCAGTCAACGTCTCCGATGAGTGGCATGATGACAGGTTCCACGAATGGGTTCAAGACTACCAACGGTCCGCCTCCAGGACTTTCGGCGCCACCTGGACTCGGTTCTGGGCGATTCAATAACGGCTCTTCGGGCACTCCACCTTACACCGTTGCTGGCTTCCCAGCAAGCGGCAATAACAACGTGTGGAACGGGTACAACAGCAGTGCCATGACTGCTGGTGGGCCTGGTTCTATGATGAATGGAAACAACTCGAATTATCTGCCACCACACATGCTTGGCAGGTAAGGCATGCAGCTACGTAAGGATCCCCATCTGGCTGCCAGAGGCAGTGTGGCGAGAGTTCTGGCGTTACGGTGTTAAGTGCGGATACGCGGCAATAAGGCAAAGCCAGAAGATACTTGGGCAGCATCAAGGACGGCGCTGTTTAAAGATCTCGGCGCATACGCATTTTCATCGGCATCTGATTTTCCCGGCATCAGTCATTTAACTTGATTTTTCCTCCTTTCCAATCTCGCACGATTCTCACTCGCCCTTTTCCGACGGGCCTGATTTCACTGGTCTGCCACAGCCATCAATGCTGGAGTCGTGTTGGTCACTTCGTTCATGTTCTCATCGGAGTTCAGGAACAAATCATCAGTGGGCGTTCATTCTGATGACTTCGGACACCAGGCTATAGTTCGGTTGAGGCTTTCTTCCGGCCTTGTCTTTCCTTCGTTGACCAATCAATTTCAGTTTGGGTTTCTTTATTTTCATTCAGCATGGCGCGTGGAACGGACATTTACTATGGTAGACGAACTTTGGGGAATCTGGTCTCATGCCCTTCGGACAACAAATACCCAGCGCCGACGACTCAAGGATGGAGTTCTTAGGTTCGGCATTTTCGGTGATGCCTTCGCGAGGCGTCCTGACGATTTGGGGCTACGGGTTCGAGGTTCTCACGAGAGAATGGGATATTTACTGGCACAGCGACTAGCGATTGATGTATGGGAAGGGAACGTTGTATTGAGTCTTGGGAGCATGGCATGAGTTCACCCCAAAAGAGAAAACGCCCAAAAGCACAGAAGAGAGCGCGAATGGATTCGGTTGATCTCGCAGCACCCGCCAACCAAAACAAAAAATACGGCATGGAAGTCCAGAAGAACTCTTTCGTTTGTTTCACTCAACGCATGTACGAGAGATAAAAGGCACGCTTCACCAGAGGGTGGAAGGTGGAGAAGGGAGAGCCATCTGGCAGCGACACTTTCTGGTCACATCAGAAACTTTCGTTGGGTCAGGTCAGGACCATCACTGGATGGATGGTTTGTGGAGGCCAGGCTGCATCGAGCTGTTACGCACAAACTTAACGGATACGCATTATCGGGGTTATCGTTCGGCATCAAGGCGGAAGGGACCTCATCATCACACATCCAAGGGTTTGGTCGGGACACAAATGGGGGTTTAGGAAACTGGGAAGGGTTGTTCCAGTCCAGGTTCTGGTCCTTGAGGGGCATTGTCATGTTTCATTTGATTTCATTTTCTTCTCTGATTTGTTTTCCCCTCCTCCCAGCCCGTTAGTTTTCCATATCCATCCCCCCTTTCCCTTACACTGACTGGGACCGAACTTTGACTTGCACATTGTGGGAGCGAACATACCCCCTTATGGGATTCTCATAGGCCAAAGAAAGGAGTTTTTGATTTGCTGATGATATAACCTGCCCTTCTTGTCTTGCCACTCTCGATTGGCTATTTGAGGATAAAGTGAATGACGATCTTGGGCGACCCGGTGGCCAGGTACATAGGGTCGGTGGGCATGTGGACAATCATGAGCCCCGCTGATTGACAGGCACGAACCACCTCAGGCCCGGTGTCACAGTGTCGGCGGAGACCGGGGTGTCTAGAGCCTTGTGGGGCCATCTGCTTATGGGCGTGTACTCTGTACTTCCGTACACATTAAACTTGTTTCTGTAGAGATATGTCCGCTCTCATGCCTCATAGTTCAATATTCGCGATGGAAGCCAGCGGTGACCTTTCCTCAAAGGAGAGATGCCGAGCTTCGGTGTAAAGGGAACGGACGAAGGCGCCGAGGCGCGAGGCGGGGGAGAAGAAGGATGCGCCACTTTGAACCCCAGTTGATCCACGTGAAGACATCAAAACTTCGGCATAAGGTGGGACCCCAGTCCTTGTTCTCTGCTCATAGGGGAGGGAGGCTGCCGGTACACTATTGCATCTGCGACATTATTTGGATACGGCAGATGCTCTTTATCAAGAGCAACGTGCGGCTTCTTCTACTTGGGAGTTTACCCAACATAACTCCCCTCAGCTGTGGTTTTCGGAGGCAGGACACCGGATGCACGGGAACACTTTTCACCGACACTTTTCTACAACAGTAAAGGTTGTAAATAGTTCCTGGACGGCCATAAGAATCGGGTGAAGTATTCAATTAGCAATGGTTCTCTAGTACATCAAGAGAGAAACCGTCGCCGACCGAAGTGGTTTGCGCATGTGAAGCGTGATGCAGAGGTATAGCCGGATGCCGGAGCTGCCTCCGAGGCGTTTGGCTCAGGCGGGGTTGGGGCCCATACGCCCGAGGAATCGTGCGATTGATCACGACCTCGCATCCCGTAAACCGCCGTTTGAAGACACACAATATGCATCTGTCGTTTCGAGCACTGTGTTACCGGTCAAATTTGCAGTCCCGCGGCAAATTACCTAGTAGCCTGCGCGCGATAAGGTCCAACGTCTCTCCGTGCTGGCAGTAAGGACGTTGGAAAAGGGCTGTAGTGCCCCAACGACATTGCCAGTCCTCGCAACATGGCATTGCGAAAGGGTTGCAGAAGAAGCGTGTCTCGAAAGACCGTTCTGCAGTCGGCAGCCATCCACAAAAAACGGCTTGCGATGATCGTGGCGTCCGAGACAACCCACGTTGAATGAATTTGGGATGAAGGTGGTGATCCAGCATTCTTGAAGGGTGCACCACGCATGTACGTAGTGGTACCATACTTGCTCATTGGATGGAGCTCTACCTCCTGCTGCCAGTCATTGGTTGCCAGGGGCCTGGCTGGTGGTGTGGAGGCTACCATCAACCTGAAGCGTGGGAGTCGCAAGTTGGTGGTGATGGGATGAAAGTGATGGTTGCGCCAGCTGGACTCTGGAAGTCTTGGGCCATCGCCCTGATGGGACTTTATTTACTGTGCCTCGCGGCGCCCGCGCGTATAGGTAAAATCGATGTTTTGAGAGGATTGGATTGTGGGATGCCGGCAATTGCACGACCCGAGGTTCTCAACGTTCTGCAGCCTCTGGCAGAGGTTCTGATGATTACGCGGGACATCGAGATATCGAGAAACGCTTTCCGTGGGGGAAGGAGGTGTGAGGAGGGTGAAATCAGAATCAGAGGTCGAATCGTCATCGAGGGCTTTGCTCCGGATCATGCGACAGCCTTGAAAGTGAAACGCGATGCCTGTACCAGTAAGCAGAGACTGTTCATCGATAAGCAATGCATCTCAGGATGGGGAAAGTGCAAGACGCAACAGCAGGCTGCGTGCGAGTGCATATCTGTGAACGAACCTACAGAACCTGTTATTCTGCGGCACAGACGCCATGGGACGCGGGCGCGCTCGCGCTACCTTGGCCCGTTCTGACGTGTTCTAGGCCCAAATATCCCCGGTGTGGCACGCAAACATTACGGACGAATGAGGGCGTGACAGCGACATTGTCGATTCTTTGTTGTATCGTGTGGTGTGCAGGACGAAGGCCAGTCAGAAGTACAGTGTAGATGCAGAGGAGAAGGGGAAGGTTGGAGAAAGCGTTGTGGAGGATGGGTAGAGGGCACCAACGCCAGGACTAGCGACGGCGCGGCGGTAGGGACGGCTCTTCTCCCTAACGCTCCCGACACGACCCTTTAACTGCTCCGGTCAAAGTGCTAGATGGGCCAAGTATCGTACCAAGGGTCTTGCGGGAGGGTGGCATTCGTGTCATCCAGGTGCAGTGGTGATGGTGGTGACCAGCTGTTAGTCGGGCGAGGACGGACTGTGGCTGGCGGGATAGGCTTCACCGGTGAGGGGCGGCGTCTAGGGACGGGACGGGACCGGTGAGGGCAGGTGAGTGAGATTCGAGGAAGAAGAGGTCGACGTTTGTTTCGTGCACACAAGTTGGACGGTACTGGTGGTAGAGGTTGAGGAGGGGGTAAGCTGGAACCGAGGCCCGGCCGCTAAGGCAGGATGAAGTGGCAGGGGGTAAAGATGTGTAAGAGGCGACGGGAGGGAGGGGGGGAGGGAGGAAACTGTCACGTTGTGATTACCCCGAGGAGCAATCTCTGTCAGTTGTTCGATTTCCGGCGTTGAAGAGTAAATCTGCCATCTGCAAGTTGCTTGAAAGGGGATGTTTGACGAGAAGGCCGCTGAAGAATGGGAAAGAAAAGAGATGATGTTGGCATGGTCGTGTGGACGCTCTCACCCCTAGCGACTTCCAATGTTTGGTTCGCTTAAAAATCCTGGAGGGTGTCGAGGTAGGAGGGAACGCGGAGGTGGCGGCGACCGGTCTGGACTTTCTGCCTAGAGAGGCTGCTTGCCCTCATCTCATCTTGCTTCTGTTCTGGGCGGCGATCAGGAGGGAAGTGACCAACAAGCCCACTACGCGCGCCCATATCTCGGCGATCCGGGCCCGGGACCGATGGGTGGGGCCGATGTGGGCGTAACCTCCACCGGTGCGGGCCCCGACCACCGTCGTGCGACCACCTCTCTGATTGTCACGCCTCAACGGTGTGTTAAACAAGCTTGTAAGCGGGCATGATTTTCGCTGCGGTGTAACCCGATGGTTGGAAGATGTGGGGATGAGGTATTGTCACACCGTGAGATGGTTTTCGGTAAGGTATCTTGGCTTGAGATGGGGCTGAAGCCTGATATGACACGACTTGATCAGCTGGGAGAATTAGGGTGGCACAGCAGATCTCTATAAGGAGACATATTTTGTATGATCCCGGATCATGGGGGTAAGCGGAAAGCATCGGGCTTGGTTTATATCCTGATGGAGGAGAGTTTCGGTCTGAAATATTACGATCGAAAGGAGGTTTCTCTCGTGCACATGACCATGGTTGTTTCATGTGAGATGAGGTATTATACAGGCTTGAGGTGTTCATTCAGAGTATACCAAGGTCCATATCAGAAAAGAAGAAGTCTTGTGAGTGTAGGGTACGGTGTTGCAATAGCAAGAAGCTCGAAACTTCATAGGTCCATGAGCAACATGTTCAAGCTCAAACTCGCAGTTTTCACTTTCAGTAATTCTTATGTGGCGTAGGTAGCGTACAGCGTTCTCTTTGCTCGCTTCACTCCTGAAGCGGACAGTTCCTTGACTGACTAAGGCAATCTACAGCCGTGTAGGTGATGATAAGACTTTCTAAATACCGCACAAGGGGCAAAATTCCGTTCAACTATCTCAATTATATGTCCAATGATAATGTCTCATGTTCACCTAGCCTAAGTAGATTTCAACGGCCAAGACATACGTGAGCCATTCAGATACCTCAGCTCAGAGTTGGAATGTTCTTTACTCGACTATCAAAGTCTTAAAATGCTCATGGCGACTCGTTCACTGGGCAGTGTTTTGCTACTTTGACCTTAGACATAGTTAAACACCAATTTTAAGATGAACTATTGCGCACTTCGACTCGTTTCCATTGCCCTTCCAGACTTGTACTTGATTCATCGCCAAGATTGAACCTGATTTCGTCCATTCACTGGAACTTTAAGAATAGTACGGCTCCTGGGCTCGTGAACTTGCGGACTTGAGACAGTCTGAACTTGGCTGTTAAAACAGAACCGCAACATGCCGAATTATAATGGCTCACATATGCCACTTGCCACTCTTATCACAGGGGCTTTGCCTACTTGTACCATACGATTTTGGGAACCGAGTTTTCATGCGCGCTTTACATCGTTCCCCTTGCTGTCTCAAAGTAAGCATGGGGATTAACGAGCCGAGATCTAGAAGTACACCACTCATGCCTGAAAAATGACAAACGCGATGCCGTAGTAAGACGATCTACATACAATCCTCGAAGGAGACACACGAGATCAAAGTGTGAGAGCAGCGGCATGTCTTGGTCCGCTCTCTGACCAAAATTTACTGCTATCACATACTAAGATTGCCTCCCATCAGCCGGCGAGATTCGCGCAGCCTGGCCATGTCCTCGTCCACTGCTAATGCGTCGGCCGAGTACATGACACTGGCTTCTCCGCGCTGCTCGCGGCGGTCTTTTGCTAACGCGTGTCTTATTATCTCTTCACCCTCGCTCGTGGAGACGGCCAGCAGCCGGGAGTCAGTGCCCAACATACTGGAAACATTGTTTCCCGGTCGATAGTGCTTCTGGACGTTGGCGGTGGTCTCGGCGATGCTGATGAGGTAACCAGTCTCATGTCGTCGTCGAGATGGGACCATCACGTTATGGATAGATAACGTCGTGTACCGCGGTAGCCGTCGTCGTCCTTGGTATGATTCAGGGCGAAATATGCAGGGGGGGGGGGGGGGGGCGTGAGGTGTAACGAGGGAGCATACTCGCGTTCGTCGTCGTTTCTGGTCGACTCTTATTGCATTGGAACTGCGCATAGTGTACTCGGCTTCCCTCGGCAAGGACAAGCTGGAGATTCTGCGCCAAGCAATGTCTGCCGACCAGCAATACAAGATCTTCATCCTTTTCCAGTCAAGCAAGAAGATCAAGTCCGCCATCCAGGAAGGGAGCGCTAAGCCGACCATGGCGAAGCTTACCAGGGCTGAGACCGACGACATCTTCGCATTGATCCTTGCATATTACACGCTCAGTTTCAAGAGGCGACAGTCAGTAAGCGCGCTCAAGTGGCGCATATAGATGGTGAGTTCCTGATTCAAAATTTAGGAGATCCCCTTTTTATAGTGATCATTGCCAGGAATCACGCTCTCCTCACCTGGGCATTAGTAAGTCGTCAGAGGGGCAGGAGGCCCCTCACCTGCATCTGTAATGGTAGACTGGCATGAGTTTCAGAGTATCATCCGTATACAGCGGCAACTTAGTCTTGAAGTGGCTGCCGGCGAGCATGACCTCCATGACTTCGTGTGCGTCTGCTGAGGTTACCAAGATCCAATATATATGTGCACATAAAGCAGCTACATACGAGTAGGTAAACCCAACGTGGCAACAATTATCATTCTTGTGGTTGTCTATGCTGTTTGCGATCAACACAGGCATAGTCCCAGAAAGATGCTATATCAGCAGTGAGCCGCATGAGGAGGAGCTAAGAGGAACATGGATCAGAGCATAAGGTAAGTATAGGAAAGAGCAAGACATCATCAATCTTAATGCATAGGAGGAGAGAGAGTACTCTGAAAGGACGAAAAGGCTGAACTTTTAACCGAGACAGTAGACTCGACATGGATGGATTAATCATGACCGTGACCTTGAATCCAATCCTTGGTAAGCTAAGTTTGACAATGGTTCGGAAGTAAATAGCTAGATCCTACCCAGCTCCGTGTATCGTAGCAGTTACCGACACTGATTATTAGTAACATAGACGCAAATAGTCCTCGCGGAGAAGGCACCTCCTCATTCTTCATTTCCTAAATCCTATGGTCCACCGAACTGATCCATCGCATAGCCAGGCTTCCCTTCAACATGAACTTGCTGGTCTCTGACTATCGGATATAATTGCACACTCACTCCTAGGCTCTCGACATACCTCCCTCAAGCTATATCATGCTCAAGTCTCATATTCGAACAAGATTTCAGAGGTCAATCCATGCACGATCTCCCTACAAACGGCTCATCTCATGGAAGCGGCGGGTCATTGCCACAACATCAAAACTGACAGCTCGCAAATCCTTCTCATCAAAAGGCACACGAGTACGGCCGAGTCTGACAGCTCCCATTTCCGGCTTTGGTTTTCTCGACTCTACCAGGCTGAAAAGTAAGTCTCGCCGCACAAATCCAAACCGAGGGAGGGCAAAAGAAAAGCATTACCAACACATCACATCGCCGCAACGAGCAAAAGGATGGACGATCTGGGAATCGAACCCAGGACCTACCGCATGCTAAGCGGTCATTATACCACTAAACCAATCGCCCAATCGATGATCTAGCCCGGACTTGAACCGGAGACCTTCAGTGTGCTCAGTCCGAGTTGCCTCGAATCTGTTAGACTGACGTGATAACCAACTACACCACCAGACCAGTTATTGTTGAAGACGATTGGCATAATTGGGCTTTATCAATGCAAGCATCGAGTTGTGCGCGGTGAACGGCGGGACCCGCTTGGTTGCGGAAGCGGAGCCCTAAGGCACGCTGCAGAAAAGTCTGGTTCATGCCGGATGAGGTGGGTCATTTGATGCAGGCCCAATCAGTACCGGCCCGATGTCTCGTCAGAGAAACTCCCGCTGTCCACCGAATCGAATTCTGGGATTATGGTTGTGGTCTCGCTTGAGCAAGGTACCTGCAATGTGATTTCATGTTTCGTTTCCGACCCCGTCGTCTGGCTAGGGGTGAGGGAACAGTTGGGGGCGCTGCAACCTCTAAAGTCGATAATGGCGACAATCGTGATGTAGAAAATCGACCAGACCGTTCGGGGAAGGTAGTAAGGAGGTCTGGGTTTTACTCGTCTTGGTAAGTTGCCCGGACTGATAAGACGACATCTTGAATGGTGCCGTATATCCAGACAGCTTCGCTTCTCGGTAATGTCAAACCCCCACGCTGCCTTTCGTCAAATTTTTCTCGCAATATTCTCCGAAAGCTGTCCAAAGTCCGGCCATGACGACGACCTGCATGCAGCTGCGGCGTGGGGTGCTACAATAGTAGGGCACGCGTGAGCCGCATTCGAATAGACGACACACTG